GAGCAGTGGGGCCACATCAATCCAGCCCTGTGCTGAGCTGCCAGGGCAACTGGGAAGCAGAGTGGGGGTCCCACGCCCCTTGCCTTCCCTGGGGCTGTCCCAACACCAGCCTAAATGGAGGGGGCCTGCTCTCTGTCTGCTAGTGCAATGGGTGGGGGAGGTAGGGCTTGTAGCCTGTGGGGCCCTGGCGTGCCTGACCCCTGAGGCTCCTGTCCCTCTGCCCCCCCCCCGGATGCTTCGGGGCAGGAGATCAGCTGACCCCGATCTGCAGCCGGTGGGAACTGCTCGGCCCAGGCGCAGTTTATTGTATTAGGGGGACGCTTTCCTCTAATCAGCTTAGTGGGAGGCCGTCCCCTGACCTCATTCCCACTTTAGACAGGCTTTGTGCTTGTTCTGTGCTCATGGAGGGGATTGGCAGGGCAGGACCCTGACAGTGCTTGTCTTGGCCAAATCTTTCCTGCTGGGACCTGGTGCCTTTGCTTGCCTTAGTGGGACAGGACTGGCCCTTATCAGCCCAGGAGACCTGGCTGGTGGCTGGAGGGGGTCCTGCATCCCTGGGGACACCTGTCTCCCCTTCTGAGAGAGGCCTGCTTGAGGATGACACAGCTTGGGGGGGATCCATGTGGGAGAAAGGGTGCCTGGGCTAGCGCAGGTCTGGGTTGGTGGGAGCAGCTGTCAGACACCAGCACCAGCAGGAAGTCCTGGCACTCTCCTGCGCTCAGCTTCTACTCCTGAGGGCTCACACCGGGCACCAGGCCTGGCTGCCAGCACCGGCCCCATGCTGCAATGCAGAGCCTTGTGGCTGCCACCACCTCCTCCCCTGCGCCTGCAGGCCGAGGAATGTGCATTGGCCCTTTGCCCATGGCTTGGCTACTGCTTGTGGCTTCCTGTACTGTGTAGAAAGAAAGGGTGGTAAGGCTCACATTGTCTGTATTGTGCGGATAAGCACTGGCAGCTCCGGCCAAGACCAGCCCAGGGAGGCATTTGCTCCAGGCGAGAACTTGTCTCAGGGCTGAGGGCTGTTCCCAGCCCACACACAGACCGGTGCCCTGGTGAAATGCCCCAGCTCAGAGGCTGATGTGGCGTGGATGGGACACAGCCCGCCCTGGTCTGCCCCACTGCTCCTGCTACCATCTGCTGGCCACCGACCCACGTCTCCCCAGGGTGACACACTCATAAAAAGCATTTGCTGATCAGAATGGGACACTTGGACAGGTTCCTCCACTGCCCCAGCATGGGTCATGCTGCTGGGCATGCCAGGACCACCTGATGTGCTTTCTACACAGCAGAGTCTGCCCAGGAACAGCAGAGGTTGCCAAGGGAAGCCAGCTTACTCCCAGTAGGCAGGATACTGCTGTGGGTTGAAGCATGCTGTCTGCCATGGCCGTCCACACATTCCCTGAGGTGGTTAGCATCCAAACCCTGAGACTCCAGGCTCTGCCTGCAGGTGCTGTGCCTGCTGCAGTGCTGACTGAGTGCCTGGTCAGAGTGCACCCTCCCCTGAACAGCCCCGAACCACAGACAACCTTTTCCCAGGGCAACCTTTTCCCAGCCTTTCTAAAGCACCCGAACTCAGATGGATGATGCCAGGGTGAAGATCCTGAGCACCTGTTGCTGTGCTCACCACGGTGCCAGAGAGGCAGCAGGGGAGGATGCCAGTCACTGAGCCCAGGCTTTGTCCAGGCTGGAGGGCTCTGGCAGTGGCACCACCTTCCCACTGTGTGGTCAGGGTGTCCAGAGGTCCTCTGTCACAAGCATGAAGGTGATGCTGCACTTGGCCTTACTTAGGCTGCCTTGGCCCCTTGATTTTGGTCCCTGAGGCTGGTTTTAAAATTATTATCCTTCCAGCACCGTATTTTGTTACCAGTGCCACAGCACCAAGCGATATCTTGAAGGTCTTTTCCAACCTCAATTCCATGATTCCACAATTCCTGTGGTAGGGTGGGTTCATCCCTGGCTGCAGAGGCTGGAAGCGTGGATGTCTGCCAGAAGCACAACTCAGCGTTGCTGCCTGCGCTGTCCTGCCCTCACCTCAGCTCTGCCGTCCTGCCCGTGACCTCGGGGCACAGCCGCCCGCAGCAGACACCCTCTGTGCCCTTGCGCGAGCGTCTCACCCCGGGGCAGACCTGCTCAGCACCCAGCAGGGATTATTAGCCTGTCCACCGACTGGGCAGCCTCTCTGGAAGCGACAGCCACCTGCATGTCACCATGGCTCTTCATCGCTAATCCGGCAGCCTCCAGTGCCCTTCCTGGCATCACGGGCTCGCGGTGCCCAGGCAGCCCTCGCTGCACGCGGCCTCTGGAGAGGTGTGGGGGCACGTGGGGCAAGCAGCAGACCCCGTGTGGTGGTACAGAGTCAGGAGCTGGCGGGTTGCTGCAGGCAGCTGAGCATGAGGCTTGTTTACGCAGGGAGGAGGGGGCTTGGGCTTTATGTGGAGACGCTTTGGCAGGGAGCCCCAGCGTGACCGCCCAAACACGGTGCCGTGCCTGGCGTAGGACCTGCTTGGCAGCAGGCACACAGTGCCCATATTTCCTCAAGGGGAGAGTGCCTGTGCCCTCTCAGCATGGCCATTCATACTGCAGTGCCTCTGACAGGAGGCTGTGGAGTGTCGCTCAAACCCCTTAGGGCTGCTGCCAATGTCTCTCGTTTTTTAACCTAAGACTAGGCAGAATCCCCAGGCGAGTTGGCTCACCCCTGCAGAGCGAGGTGCTGCGGCTCACCCCTAAGGCTCTGTCTAGGCTCAAGTGTCAGCACTGTCACAAAACCATTCCCAGCTGAACATGATCCCCCAGGAGGCTCATTTTAGAGCTTCTCAACTGTATTCCCACCTTGATTTCATCCCCTCCTGACCTGATGTCTGTGGCTCTGCAGTTGTTCATAAAGCTGGAAAACATGCACCCCTTGGGAGGTGGATAATCCATAACATCCAGCCTTTGTCGTTCTTTGAACTCTCTCCCTTTCCATCCCCGGATTTCCATGGCCTAATGCAGCACACCGGAGCCCCAGCACCAGCTCCCTGCCAGCACTCCACACACACAGAGCTCCCAGCCTGCAATGCAGCGCCGCGACACACTGCTCTGACTGTCGGCATTTGGTGCAGGGATGGCAGCAGCTGATGGTGTTCAGAGCAGCAATGTGCTGCCTCCTTCCCATCCTGCTCTTTCCCTGTGCTGAGTCTCTGCTGGCCTTGGGATGTGGAGGAATACCCAGTCCTCATGTTCCTGGCCTGACTCTGGGAACTGCTAGGCCAAGCAGCTGGTGCCAGTGTGAGGTGGAAGGACTGGCCAGTGGCTGCCATGTCCCTCTTCCCTCCCAGCCCTGGCCCTGTTCCTACCCTGCCCAGCCCTTGTGAGGCACAGACAGCTCCTGTCTCCAGTCCCGTCTGGTGCCTTGGCCCTCCATACTCAGCGTGGATGGCCATGCTCTTTGGAGCTGGCAGCACAGGCACCGGGCAGGACCAGCCTCTGCCTCTCCCAGCCCCACTTCCTTATTGCCACGGCAAGCGATGGTGAGCAGAACCATGGGAATGCGGAGCACCTGGCTCTTCCAGGCCCCTCTGGGCTCCCTGTGGCAGTCCCTGGCAAAGAGCAGTTTGGAGGGGAGCGATGCGAGACCTTCTGGTCTGAAGCTTGAACCTTAGCACTGTGCTGCAACTGTGACACTTATCTGGCTTAAGGGATCAGGCACCAGGCATGCAAATAGGACCAGGGCTCTTGCAGAGCCAGAATTACCTCAAAAGCACCTCTAAGCCAGGCTGTGGCCGTACATGTGCCTGCCTGGCCCTGCTTGAATTTGTGCCTGCCTCCCAGAAGTCCTGATTGCACATCTCAAGGCTCATTGTCATCCAAAATCTGCTCACAGGCTGGGGCAGCCTCCTCAGCACCCGCGGGCCCCTCCAGTTCTCCCTTTAAAAACTGACCCAGAGAGGGAAGGGCAAGGACCTGCCAGCAAAGCTTTTCCTTTCAATAGAGGAGTCCCTGTCCTGAAAGCAGGCGCGTGGGAAGGCTGGTACAGCCAGATGAGGTCGGGCCAGGAGCTGCTGCCAGTGCCTGGGGGTTGCTTCGACACCAGCTCCCACAGTCGGAGCTCTTGGGTGTGTCACCAGGAGGACAAAAAGGACCCTTTGCTCCATCCTGTTCCTACCAGGACACTGACAAAGTCTCTCCTGGCTTCTGTTGGACCAAGCCTGGGGTACGTCCCCGCTGGTGCTGCCTGTCCCAGCACTGCTGCCCCCCAGGCTGGCCCGTCTCTCCAACAGCCCTCATCTCTGCCCTCCCTGGCATCCCGGGAAGTCCCCTGGGACCCCCAGCCCCGCTGCCAGGCACTTTTCCCCCTCCCTCTCCCGCATGTCTCGGGCTGCAGCGGCTTGTTCCGGTGTTTCGGGACCACCCAGGGCCACCGGCAGCCCCGGGGCTCCCAGCCCCGACTGCAGCTCCCACAGTCAGGTCCCGGACGCGGGGATGCGCCCGGGGTGGCTCCCGCAGCCCTCATGGCCCCTGTCGGCACGGGTCCCGCGAAGGGGTCCCGCGGCAGCCCCCACGAGCCCCGGGGAGCCGGGACCCGCGCCCCGCGGCCCCTGCGGGACCGTGCCCGGGGCGTGGTGGGGCCGATGCCCTTGTGAGCGGGGACGACGGGGCCCGCGGCGCCGGTGACTGTCAGCCCGAGGCGGGACGGCTCCGTCCAACACGGCCGAGCCCCGCCGCCGCCCCCCCGTCACCCCCGTCTTCCTCGCCGCCCGGAGCCCCGGGGCCGGCGCGGATTCGGTTCACGGGCCTCCCGGTCCTCCCTGCCATGGACGAGCAGCGTCCGCCGCGCCGCCCCCATGAGCTGCTTCGGGACTCGCCGCCCCGGCTGGAGCCGAGGGGCGGCCCCGGCGCCCTCCCCGGTGCCGGTGCCGCAGGGACCGTCCCCCGCCCGCCGCCCCCCGCCCGTGCGCCCTCGCCGCCCGCGCACATTACCTGGGCGGGTATCGCCGACGCTGACGGTCGCCCGCGCTGATCGAGTCCCGGGCGAGCAGGAAGCCGGCGGCGAGGGAACCGGCGCCCACCATGGCCAGGAGGCCGGTGGTGCGGCGAGCGGAGAGAGCGCGGGCGAAGGTGCTGGCCATGGCGGAGCGGCGGAGCGAGCGCGGCGGAGCGAGCGCGCCGGGGCGGGCGGCGGACGTGAGGGGAATAGGAACGGGAATGGGAATGGGAACGGGAGCGGCGGCGGGGCGCGCGGGGGGGCGGGGAGCCGGCTGGGCACGGGGGGGCCGGGCACCACCGCCACCTGCTCGGCCGCCCCGCCCCGCCCCGCCCCACCGGGGCCGCCGGCGCTTTCAGCACCGCGCGCGGGACAGCGCCGGAGGGGCGGCTGCGTCGGGCCGGGCCGACTTCTCACCGAGAGCCACACCCCGGACCCCCGCGCCGCGCTCTGTGGCGGTCGGTGGCGGCCGGGTGAAAGTTCGTGCACCTGAAGCCGGGAGCGGCGGACGCGGCTACTCTACGGGATGCGGCCCTCGATGGGTCGCGGGCCCCGGGGCCGGTTCTCGGAGGTCACCGGCCCTCCCACAGTGCTCTGTGCCCGCCTCACCGCGGGACCGCACCGGCGGGGCAGGGAGCGCACCGCGTTCGCCGCCGCAGACCCCGCGGGACGGGAGGTGCCGGCGCACCGCCGGGCCGCTCCGGCACACGGGAAACGGCTGCTCGGTAGAGCCGCGCGCCCAGCCCGGTACAGTCGGTACGGCCGCGTGTCCCGCCCGGTGCAGCCGCGCGGTTGCCGTTACAGCGCGGACCCGGCGCGGGGC